TTGTCCCCCGCGGCCGCCGGCTTTTCCGAGCGCTCGGGAAGCAGCGTCCGTGCGCGGGCATGACCGGGCGCCGGGGGCCGCAGCTGGGCCGCGTCTGCAGGAACCCGCTCCGTGTCCCCGTGCCCTGGTAGCGGCGCCAGGGACGGCTCCGCACGTGAGTGCCTTTACCAACCCCTGCGGCTGCGCGGCTCCGAGTTGACCGGGAGAGTCTGTCGCTCTGTTCTGTTCGCGAGTTCGGGAATCTGAAGGGGAAGAAATGCAGCTCGTAGCTTAGTTATTCTCATTTTGTTGTCTGGGAGTCACTGAGGTATTTGTGCCGATTGTAATTCTGCAATTGCAAAGGCTGCAAATGAAACCTTGCAATATGAACTTCAAAATGCACAAACCCCCTGACTTTCGCTTAAAACTTGTCTTTTATTAACAGGCACAGTGTAGTCTCTGGTGCATCTGTTCTTTCTGTAGCCTGGCTGCGCTTTAGCCAAGTGTGTGCACTTGGAATATGAGGAGTTACAAGGTGAGACATGCAAGGAGCAGCAAGCTGTGAGCCCTGCTGTCATCTACAGCTAGTGCAAACTCAACTTCTGGAACGCGTGAGAATGGAAGTCAGGATTCAAAACAAGCCGTGCGAATGAAAATGCCTGCTTTTATTAAACATAATGAGCAAAAGGCTTTATTAGTAACGGTGAATTTAGCTGGAAATAATGCTCTTGAATACTCAGGTAGGAAGTTAGTCTTTTGCCAGTTGTTTGGGGGAATGGTACATTTAGGAATCAGTTGCATAGGAGAATAACATAGTAAGAGAGAAGTTTTGTGTGTTTTATTATCCACTTTCACAATTGCTATACTGAAATTTGCTATAAAGTGCATTTCTGCAAATAAGATGGTGTTTTGTTTAACCTTTAAGGATTTTTTTATATAGCTCTATATTCACAGCATACATTTTGTAGCTCTGAGGGGGATAAAAGCAACTACAATATAAAGGGAAATTGCCTCTAGCACAGGCACTGAGAGCCTCTGTGAAGCTTTGGTCCTCGAGGAACCTCAAGCCTGAGCTTCCGTGGTAGCAGGAAAAGGAGCGTGGGAAAAGCTGCTGCAGAAGAAGCCTCTCTGGAGATGGAGATGGGCAGCAGCATCCGCACGGGGCTGCCGTCGTCTCCAGCTGCGTCTCCAGCAGGTCGAGGGAGGGGATCCTGCCCCTCTGCTCAGCCCTGGTGAGGCCACATCTGGAGTATTGTGTCCAGTTCTGGGCTCCACAGGACAAGAGGGATGTGGAGCTGCTGGAGAGAGTCCAGCGCAGGGCTACGAGGATGATCAGGGGCCTGGAACATCTGCCCTGTGAGGAGAGGCTGAGGGAGCTGGGCCTGTTCAGCCTGGAGAAGAGAAGGCTGAGAGGGGACCTGAGCAGTGTCTAGAAGTACCTCAAGGGAGGCAGTGAGGAGGATGGGACCGGCCTCTTTTCACTGGTGGCCACTGACAGAACTAGAGGAAACGGCCAGAAACTGAAACACCAAAAGTTCCACAGGAACTTAAGGAAAAATTTCTTAGCAGTGAGGGTGCCAGAGCCCTGGAACAGGCTGCCCAGAGAGGCTGGGGAGTCTCCTTCTCTGGAGATCTTCAAACCCGCTTGGACGCAGTCCTGTGCCACGTGCTCTAGGTGACCCTGCGTGTGCAGGGGGTTGGACTAGATGATCTCTAGAGGTCCTTGCCAACCTTGAGCATTCTGTGATCCTGTGATTCCATGACCCAAACGACCGTCGCAAGCTCCGTGTGCTGCGCTGGCCACCAGCATCGCCAGGGCAGCCCCACGCTGCTTCCCTGGCTCGGGGCTGAAGTTCTCCACGGGCACCTGCTGATGTGACCAGTAGTGACCAAGCTGCGGTTCTGCCCCTGTGACGCTGGCACAGGGCAGTTGATTGAAATGGAGGATTTTACGGGAGTACCAAACGTGAAGTGCGCGTTACGTAGAGCTCCGTACCGTGTTTTAAGCACAAAAACCGTTCAGCTTGAGGCTCCCATGCGAGACCACATCCCTAGGCTTGTTTCACACTGCGGCCAGGCGCTTCAGGCTGTGGTTGCCGAAGTTCCTCTCTGTGGTTGGTCTTTTGCGTGTTTGTGATGTGCGGGCGCTTCCGAAGCTCCCAAAACCTCTGGAAGCTCCCAGAGAAGTGTCTTCCTTTTCACTAGCTATGCAGCTGCTTCACTCTGTGCCGATGAGTCTGCAGCAGCAGGTTGAAAGTCAGGAGGTTTAGCTCGTGTATCAGCCCTCGAAAGGTCATTTGACTTTCTTTTGCCTTAACTTACTTGTGTTCTTGTCCGCGATGCTTCATAAAGATTACAGAGGCTGTTTACAGCCTTAGGGCCTTGTGATCTTTGGTCGAGGGTAATACACACATGTGATGTCCTGTCTGCGCCCGTAAATACGACGTTGTCGCAGGAATCCGAGCTGTGCAGCTGCGATGTGGTCATTGCTGAGGGACTTGGGGTGTTTTCCGGGGTGAGAAATACGGAATTTTACCCCTGGTGTAGTAATTGAATACACGCCTTCTGTCCTAATTGTTGACTCTCTGTTCCCATGTGCTGAAGGTTAAAATTCAGGACAGGTAGGAAAGAGTAGGAAAAAACACATTGCAACACACTTTTTTGCTATATTTGCCAGTGCTTGAGACTTTCAGATGGCAACAGTTATTATCAAGTGCAGAAGTTGAAGGTTTAGAGAGGCTTAGAGATAGCAGTGCAACAGGAATATGGGAGTGCAAAAGCATCACATGCATTTCCTTTTGAAGTCAGTGATCTCTTGAAGGCTAGAAAATGTGCTGACAAAAAAGGAAAAAAAAAACAGTAATATTGTATTCTGCCAAAAGCAATGCTCAGGAGGAGATGATCTGCAGAAGACAAGGAAATATTTCAGTGTTTTCAATCAAACAAACTGACTTCCTTATGATCTCATGTTTGCATTGCTACGCTTTCAATCAATGAAGTGGTATCCAGTTTTTTTTTTTCTCCACCCCTCATCCCCCTGAGATTTTAAGGAAAAATTATGTCTCTGGATCAGGTTAATGACCAGGAAAGTAAGTTTGTCAGTTTTTCAGTGGTCTAATGAATCCAGTTAATGGTTTCGTTTTCTGGTATCTTTAAGGTAGTTTCAGATTATATAAAACTGAAGATCCTGTTGTAGAGTAAAACACCCCGTGTTTTTCTGCTGAACTGTAGGAGGAAGCATGTGTTTGCCTCTAGGAAAATACATGTTTTGTTGGGAGATTATCCTTTTTTTTTTCCTTTTTTCCCTACTGAATGTTTCTTTTCAAGAGGCTTAGTATTCTGTAAAAATTTTTCTATTGTAGAAGTCCCATGTACCATTAAACACGATTATTATTTTGATGAATAAGCACAGCTGGCATTTCTTTTCAATATCTGGCTGCCTTCTTTTCCAGCTATGAAAGTGCTGTTGTCAAGAGATTAGCCTTCAGGGTAGCAAGTTAAACTGTTCATTTCCACTAATCCCCAGGCTGGACAGGCAAACAGATACAAACTGGCTGGGTATGCTGTGCACAACAGTGTTCTATGCTCTCCACGGTATAAAATAAGCTAGTAGGGCGTTTGTGAAAAGGAACTTTTAAAAAGCTGAAGCGTGTCGTGGTGACTGCAGGCAGTCAGGTAAAATTTCAGGTTGAGAGTCTTTTTGGGTCTGGTTTGTTTTTCAAAAACTTAATACCTGCCTTTGAAAAAATCTTCAAACTTGCCCTCCTCCTATCTCTTTTATTCATATATATATTTATACACACACATACACACATATATATATATACATATAATTATGCCCTGCTTCCTGCACTCGCCCTGGCCGCTGCCTGTCTACAGTTGTGGGCCGGGGGGCCCCTCTCATAGAGGCAGGTCCTCCTGGACGCTGACACCCAAAGGGCCTTTCCTCATGGTGCAGGAGATCTTCCAACCCACCTGGATGCCACCCTGTGCTCCGGGTGTCCCTGCGTGTGCAGGGGGTTGGACTAGATGATCCCTGGAGGCCCCTTCCAACCTTAATGATACTATGAAGCTTTCTATGAAGCCAGGGATCGCCTTGCCTGGGTGCCGTGCCAAGGAGGGACAGCGGATGAAAGGCGGGATGGCCTCTTGTCCCCATCTCTTCAGCTTGTCCCCATCTCATGTTCAGCATGTTTACATTTTGCATTTATTTGTTATTTCTATATAAAGCGGGGCTAATTGAAGTTGATGAGCCTTTTCACTTTCTTTTCCCAGGTGTGCTAGTTAGCCTTCCTTAGTCATGCAGGTAGCAGAGGTAATTTAATACTGTAACATCAGAAGTACATGGTTATTAGTTCAAACTGCCTCGCATGTAGTTTAGAACCAGCGATGCATCTTAATTAGTACTTGCCTGACACTTCCTTTAGTGCCTGTCAGGTTATGTAGCAGGTATCTTCAGTAATGTACGTACTTTGAAAAATCCACGGCTGCTGATGTCCTTGGGCATTAGTTACGTGAAGGAGAACTGTTTCCTGGAGTCCTTGTATTGCTCAGAGGTTTGTATATTTTTACATGCTTTTCACTGTGTGGAGAAAACCTAACTTTGGCTTGGAGATTGCATTATGGCTCTGATTTTCTGTTCTGATTTAAGTGTTTCTGTTCTTTTCAGCTTTGGCAAGCGATCCGCAGGCAGCTTCAGGCGGGGCTGTGAATGCATCGTTTTGGAGCCATCTGAAATGATTGTGGTGAGAATATTTCCGTTATTTTTCCTCGAAATATATTTTAAGTAGAACTGTATTTTACACACTTTATCTTTCAATAACCTGTTTTTTTTAATATTTATGTCTCATATGACTATCTTGCCATTTCCTGCGTGCACCTTTGCCTTGTCTAAGTGATAAAGGTATCGTCTTACATTACGTTAAATCTACTTTTGCACATTTCTTATAAAGCAGTAAGGTTTGCTTATGTAAACAGAAGAGTGGGACGGGCTTTTAAGTGCAGCTGCTTTGCTATTGTAGCTAAGCACAGATGTTTTAAAGCATTAATCCCAAGTTTGGTGTTTCATGGAGGTGAGTTTACTTTCAGCGGTGTGAGATTTCAACCAGCATTTTGAGGTCCTACCAGCTCTTCTGGTTACAGCTTGTCTCAGGAGCAGTCCGCTGTAGTCCCGCGGTCAGTTAGCATCATCTCTGAGCGTGCAGAGCTTCAGAGTTTTCAGCTGGTACTCGGGGTGATAAATCATGCAAACCAAGTTACCATGGAGGGGCTGCATGTGTTTCACAGTGTTTTGCACGGAGACGGTGGCCGGTTCCTGACGCAGGTGCCTGAGCCCGTGGCGTCTTCCGAAGCGCTGTTATCCCGGGGGAAGCATTGGAGAACACAACCCGATCCCCATATATGGCCAGTGCTGAAAAGTCTCCTTTTACTGTTGCTGTGGCTTCTATTAGTAGGGTGAAAAAAGAAGAGATGTTAAATTACTATAAAAAGATTGTGCTCCTCTTCCAGCAGAATTCTTTTGTTCCAGTGTTTTCGCGGCTGTTATGAGGAATTCAGGACTACGCTTGAAAACACCCCTCTGAAACAGGGAGAACTGACTTTGTATTAAGATATTTCCAATATCTATTTTTTAATCCTTCCAGCTATTATTTGGAAGTGAATTTTTTAATGTAAATGAAGTCTTTTGCAAATCCTTCTTTTAGGTCTCCCAATATTTGAAGTAAACTCGCCTGTTGAAGAGTGAAGCCTTTGCAGCAGGTTAGCTGGGGAAGATCCCAAGTGATTAGTGCAAGTCAGGAGGAAAACTACCAAGTGATCTCCCATAAGTGTTTCCTTTTTATAATTCATTGAGTAGTGGAGTGTTTGTATTCTGTATAAGAACAGAGGAGAGGAAAAAGCTTTTTTTCTTTATCTTTTCTGAAAGGAGTGTTTATACTCAGCAATTCTGTTCATACCAATGTTTGCTTTTTTTTCCTCGTTCCTGTGGGTATTTTTTTTTTAGTAACTTCATAGTTTGCATTGCTAAAATACAGGAAATTGGTAGCTAACCACTCTCTCCAGAAACAGGAGTAGTGGTGTTGCTAACATGCAGAAACAATTTTCCTTCCTTGGGGAAATGACACTGCGTTGCCTTTATTATAGGTCGATTACATGGATGAGAATGAAGAGTATTTTCAGCGCCAAGCTTCTCATAGGCAATCACGAAGAAGATTTAGGAAAATCAACCAAAAAGGGGAGCGGCAAACAATTATTGATACCGTCGATCCTTATCCCGTGGGGAAACCACCTCTACCTAGAGGCTACCACACGGTAAGCTGGGTGTGTTTGGTTTACATGAGCATGAGCAGAAATGCTACTGAAATTGGCTAAATTTGCTACGTCTTGAAGTGATATAGTACAAGTCTGTGGGGGCATTTCCCCTCAAAATACCGTGTATTTGGCTCCAGGGGTGTGTGCACAAGGGGGCAGCTTGTACCTCAAGTTCAGGCTGAGGTTTGAAAGCAGTATTTGTGAGTAGGATTTGCCATGCCTTCATGCTGCAGTTGTGAAAGAAAGCAGCTAAATGGCTTTCCAAGTTCCTTTCGATATTAGATTACAGTGCACATATGTGAATGTGCAGTGTTAAAAGGCCAGTTAGTGCAGCACTCATCTGAGAGCTGTCGCTTCAAAAGGACCGCATGGTTTTGCACTAGGCTAAAATCTCGGCTTAGATCTGTTGTTTCTTTTTGGAGTCCAGCCCTTAAAGTCAAATTAACCTTTACTGATGACTTCAGGAACCTTTATATACTAGGGTTTCAGCACACTAAAAATATAAATATGAATCTCTCTCTCTATATATAATAGGACAGTCTTGTGTATTGTAAGTGAACAGGCCTTCTCTTGGATTGAAATTAAAAATTAAAGCTTATTTAACCAAGTGGTTTGTTAAAGCTCTATTAGATTAATGCTTTTTTGGGGGGAGTTAATTTCAAGTGTAAGCAGAATTCTGGAAATGCTGTTTGTCTCTCAGCTGATTGTTTAAGCCCCCAAATCTGCAAGGACTGTGCAGGCGTGGGCATAAATAACTATGCACATTTATTCTCATCGAGTTCCTTGAGTTCATTGGGCTGGATTTTGCCTAATGTAAGGAACATGCCTATAAATTTGCAGGATTAGGGCTTTTGCATTTTTTAAAATGCTGTCTGTGATCTAATGCAAAGTTGTAAGTTTTATCCTTTTCCCCCACTTTATCCTTGATTTGTCTGCCAGTTCCCTGTATATTCAGTGTGTGTCTGTAAGTGTGTAGATGTTTGATTACATCTTCTGTTAATTGCACAGGCTTTTCCTCATGAGTTGAATGATTACATTTTACGCCAGCAATTTATGTTTTTTGTTTATACAACAGCTTCTAATGGCTTAATTTCCACAGCAGTTTTAATTGCCTTCAAATTTAACGTGGATGTTCCAGTTGAGCCAGTTCACTTGATTGGAAGTTGAGACATTTTACTGGGCTATTTTTGAAAAAAAAAAATAAAATGTGGCCTATTGTGGTTCGTAGGGGTTATGAATATAGGAATAATGAGAATTATCCTTGTTCGCGCTGCCTGGCGCGTGCGTTGTGCTCAGCAGTGCTAGCAGTGGTGTTTGTTGGGCAGGATTGAGGACGAGGCAGGGCCGGGGCGCACGCAGCGCCCTGGGCCTCGGCGGCCCCTTCCTGTTGTATAAATTTCCCCCTGGGTCGCACCGTCGTCGCTGCAATCGAGCTCTGGGGCTGGGACCCAGAGCCCGTTTGTGCCCCCGTGTCCTGCGTGCCCACGATGAGTGTGTGTGTGTTGGTGTGTTGGTGTGCATGTGCTGATTTTCCATCGCGGGGGAGGCTGCACAGCGGGGTAGAGATTGCCAAATCCACTGTAAAATTTGAAGTAATCACACTCAAGGGTTGCTTTTAAGCGTACCATGATACATGCTATTGACCCCTCCCCCCTTTTTTTTGAAATAAAATATTCAGTCAAACAATCTCAGCTGATTATATTACAGCAATATTATAAAGATTTTTCCTATATCGGCCTGCTCCCTCCTTTTTTACAGTATTTGGTAATCTCGTTTACTTAATTCTCCCAGTAGATCCTATCATCAATGCTACTTCTTTTGCTTCAGTCACATGTGATAAAGGTTGTGTTGTCTTTGCCTTCCTGTTTTCTGTCCCTTGATTTCTTTCTTTTTTTTTTTTTTTAACTTTTTTTAAAAATTAGTTGAAGAAATTTCTTTTTGTTGTTGGTAAAACTCACAGGATTTCAAAGTGTATTCTGGCATAAATCTTCAGGGCTTGTTGCCCATCTGCTGATCAGCGTCTTTCAGGATCTGATCTTTAGTTCTGCTTCTAAATTTTGGATAAACAAATAAATAAAATCATTACAGAAAGGAAGATGTTCAGAGATTGCAGCAAATAACCTGCTAAAGGCAAATTGAACACAGATGAATATGATTAGTTCATTGCAGATGTATTCTGCTTTCAGTGTTAGATACATTTTGATTCAGAGTAATAAGGTCTTATAGATAGCACACTCAATGTCTTTAAAAAATGTACAATTATCCTTTTTGTTTGTTTGTTCTATTTTACCCCAAATCCTTAGTTACTGTGTAGTGGGACTTTTTGTTGATGGATTATTGATGCTTTATTTCCAGCAGTGTCAGAATGCTGTTCTCCAGAAAGGTCAAACAGGATTTTCTGAAGAGTTTTAGATCTTGTTTTGGAAATGTAGCAAAAAATATTGAACAGTCCTAAATAAAACTGCATTGCTGTGTTTTTCAAGAATTGGAAAAGGAAATGCAGCGCTCGCAGTGGCGGCGCGGCCTCCCGCACACAGCCTGTGTTGGCCTGTGGACCCGCATTGACATAACTTTAACATTAAGAACACAGTGTTGGAATGTACTATGGCATGTCTGATAATGTTCATCTTTTCCTTTCCTCCTATATGGCATTCATTTCATTTTGGCTCTCAGGAATGCACTAAACCTCAGGTATTGTAACCTACTGTGTATGGTCCACTAACAAATTACTGGTGGGTTTTCAGTGTGGTGTCATAATACTGATGCAATGTCACGACTAAAACTGCCTCCTTTGCTTTGATTTTTTTTTTAATATATTATTTTGGAGTGGAGCTGCTTGATGCCCCATATTTTAGAGACTACAACAGAGAATGATAAGGAAAAGGGTAAAAACAAAATATGTAGTGCTTGTCAGATTGAACTCGTGCATCTCCATGTGAAATGGAGAACGTAATCATTTGTTTGGGGCCAGAAAATCGGCCCTGTGGAGTCTTTGCCTGGCAGTAAAAGAGGGAGGTACGACAGGGCAAGCGCTGAGGATGCAATTTGGGACCTTCCTTTTCTTTTTCTGAACCAGGAAAACACTGGTCCTGGTTCACCCTTGCGGTGCTGCGACGCGGATGTAGGTGGCCAGGCGCTGAAAGGCTGCTGGAGGGGACAGGAGCCTGGCCCATAACTTGTCCCATCAGGTGGACGGACACACGCGTTGCTCAGCCCTGGGTCTGGCCGGACGCCCACGCGAAGCGCCGACGTTTTGACTGACATCAGATCTGTCTGAATGGCATCTTTTGAGCTTGAAGTCTATTTGTCAGGGAGTTGACCGACGCCAAGTTGAGGAAATACAAAGCATCTGCCAAAGCCAACATTTACCAAGAGCATTTGTGTGTCTCGTTGAACTGTTAGAGGACTTCAGTGTTAGGACTGAAAAAACTTTTGTGGTAGAGCTGGTCCACGTATTATGGAAAACTATTTACTGATGCATCAGAATTCTTTCCTTTAAATATGACTAGGCTCTATTCCCTTGATATTTTTATCAGGAATCACGGTCATTTTAAAGGCTCCTCCTTTTTGCTGTTGATGCTCGAATTCTGCAAGAATTTCCAATAGCCTGTTCCTTGTTTTTGTTTTTTCTCCATACTTTATTCAGGGAGTGTGGCTGACTGCAGCAGTGCGGAAGTTAATAAGAGGGCAAGCAGCGTTCGCCTGTGGTTAATGTAAAAATTTACAATTCAGAGGAGCTAGTTCCTATTCCGGGGCTTTGTCACCGTCTCCAAATACGATATTGGACAGGACTTAACATTGTGCACGTGTGTGTGGGCATCTATCTGCTCACATGCAGACGTATCTATGTCCCGGGGTATCTATGGCTGGGGGTAATTTCAGCCCCTTGTAGTGTGAATCCTTCACATGCCTCAACTTCAAGAAATCAACAGAATACACTCAGTCCTTCAAACCTGTAGTTAACACAACACTTAAACACTCAATGTTCAGGTGATCTAAAGAATGATCTAGCACTTTCTAATGTAAGTTCACTTAATAAAATACTCAGAATCATAAGTAAATATTCATGTCAGGGAAAAAAAAAACCAAAACCCTTGCTTTTAGCCAGAAAGAGCCACGTATGAGCTAGTTTGCAAAGTCTATGGATTATTTGTATGGTCGTGAACAAGGAAGCACAGGCGCATGGAAACAAAATGAGCTTGTACAAAGGTACAGAGGATACAGGGAGATCATGGGGGGGAGAAAAGGTTCTGGATGACCTTGATCTTGGAGGCGTTAAGTGCATCTGCTTATGAAGGAGGAAGAAGACACACAGAAAAAGAGAATTCTAATCAGACATCCTTGGTAATGGAAAGAGCTTGAGGGGGGACAAGTTGCTGGGAGGTTTATGGCTTTAGTTACTATCATGTCTTGTGACAGCTGAAAGCCATCAAATAGATTTAGTTTTTGAACTTGATGCCGACTTAGTTTTCTGCCAGGGAGAGGAAACGATGTGGAAAGGTAAGCAGCAAGCAAGGAGAAAGAAAGCCCAGTGAAAGCCCTGTAATGTGGCAGGTAACATGAGGGGTGATAAAATAATATAAAATTTTATTTTATATTCGCATAAAAATGCTACCCACTCGCAGTGGGCCTTCCTGTCTGCATTGAGAAGCTTCTAACAGAGGGCATGTTTTGAAAAGTCAAGAGAAAATTAGTGGGGGACTTTCAGAGCAGGACAAGTGAACCAGGCTTGTTCTGTCCGTGGTTATGAAACGTTCTGTTAAGTAATGTTACCAGTGAATTGATAAATCAAAATTGTACACACACCTTCATTTACAGCTGTGTTGCTCATGGGCAGTATACTGTGCAAGTGTGTTGTAATTACGCAGTTCACAAAGAATGCATGACTGTTTTTGCCTTTCTTGGTGTAACACTTCGTTTAAAAGCATTTGAAATGGAACATAGTGTAGCGATCAGTCCTTTTATAATAAAAAGTGGCCAGCTCCTACCATTTGACAAAAGTTAGCGTCCTTTATGCCCTTTTACCAAGAAAGCTGTTTGTCTTGTTGCTTTTGTCCATTTATAAAATTCAGTGTAATTTCATACGCAGCCTTTAGTTTTTGTCACTTCACGATGGTGATAATCTACTCATCGTTTGTCATGTTCATCATACCAAGAAACTTGAAAAATTTAAATTCGGAATTTGTGTTTTTAGTCTGGATGTGTAATACTTGAACAGCTCTGCAATAACGTGCGTTCCTCAGAATCTGTGACTGTATTACATATACAAGTCTATTTTGTGTATATTAAATTGAGACGCTTGGGACAATACAAAAAGCATGGGTTACCTTTATCAGACACCCCAAAGATAATTGGACAACTCCAGTTAACTTTGTGGGGTTTTCTTATTTTTTTTTCCCCGGAAATTGCATGTTTCCTTATGGGAACATCCCCGGATAATGTTGTGGTGACAGTGCATAGTTCCTATCCCAGATTCTCTACTTTTTGGCCAATCATAATCTCTTAGTTGCACGTTTTCCTTTCTTTGAAAATATGCTGTAAAGCTATGTATTTATATATTAGTATATGAGCGAGTACCACCACCATTTTATTTTGTGGAATGCCCAGAGTAAACCAAAGCTGTCTGTTCATCCTCCTTTTAGTGCCATGTCCTGGCAAATGAATGCAAAATTAATGGTATGCAGTGTGCTGTTTACTCCACTTGCAGCCTCCGTCAAAGGATGTCTATTTTTGTGTCTTACATCATCTCTGCTGCAGAACTCAGGTATCCGCTGGGATTTACTGTTTTTCCAGAGCCGCCTTTGGAAGGATGGACGTTGATATTTGGGGAGAGAGGTGCAGGGGGGAGTTAAATAACTTGCATTACTCAAACATTAGTAAGTCTGAGGTAAAATCTTGTGATGTGCAAATCCTTTTTTGCCTTACTCATTAAATGGGAATGTTAATGTTACCAGGCTGAGGCAGGGCCCTGTCAGTGCCTCTAAACGTGCGTGCTTTTCCTGCCAGGGAGTGGGGAGGAAACTGCTTGAGTGTTGTCACTGGGAGAGCGTAAAGCGGTTTAGCTCGGGGTTTGAAAGTCTGTAAGTGATCCACGGCAGTGAAAAGACTGTCTTAAAAGAAAAGACTTTACAAAGTTTTCTGAAATTAGTCTCTGAATCCAAAACCAAGTAGAATCCATTTGGTAGAGAGATTCTGGCTGGTAGGACTGTGCTTCTACCCAAGTTTGTTTAAGCCTCTTGTGCATTGGGTGTCTAGTCTTGCAATTGCAAAGGGGAAAAAATGTCGTATTAAGGTTGTAAAGCAGAGCATCCCTTACTTGATGGTAGTTAACTCCCTGATTTACTTGATAATTGGTTTTAAAGAAAGCAAAGAAGGAACGGGCTGCTTCCACTGCGCTCGGGCTTGCTGTTTAAATTGCAAAAGCAGAAGCACCTTCTCTTCCCCTCTGACTTGATTAACATATTATCTTTAACTCTGCTTTTACGCTCAGGTGAGAAAATTTTGTAAACTTTTGGGGAAAAACCCCTTTATAGTGACAGACTGCATTTTTTCACTCCTGAATTAAGGAAATTCAAGTAATCTGTGATCATTCAC